TGCTGACCTACTCATAGGACAGCTATCTAAGACCCAGAGGGCCTATGAGAAAACCTCAGAAGAATCTCATAAAAAAAAGGGCTATGAGAAAACCTCAATCATTGTACCCCGAAGGAGTTTTCGGCCCCAAACCAAACTCTACTTAGTGATGGATGACTCGGCAGCTCAACCCGGAACCTGCCTCAACCCTCGTATCCTTGATACCTAAGTCTCTACCAGGCCTCGCACCCCAGCGTTGGAAAATTTTCGCTGGGTTTAAACCAGCAGTACGTTTCTGAGCCCTTTTGCAGAAACGCGCCGTTGTATGCAGGCGATCGTCGGCGGGATGTACCGAGGTGCCGTTTTGCCCGAAATCCGTCCAGGCAAATTGGGCCCCGCGTGCTGAGGCGTTTTGGTTTTGCCTGCATGGAGTTTGGGTACATCCCGCCCGTCCCGGCTGCGTGCTGGGCGCGTTTCTGGAAAATGGCGGGGACGCGTACTGGTGGTTTAAACTCTATAAACCGCGCGAGTATTTTCCCAGCTATTTTTCAGAGGCGCGCCAGGTAACGCACTGGCCTGAAATGGAAGGGCGGTCGCCGATAAATCGAATCGGCGGCCTGTCTTGATTTTCGGGCCGCCACGCAGTGCCCGCGGCCGACATGCATGTGGGAAAGGTACTGGTGGTTTAAACCGTGCGAGAACACGACCCCAGCCTTGCAGAAAATCGCGGGTTGCCAACTGCGCAATTTTCGGGGCTCGGGCCTACCGGAGCACGACGGCTGGTGGTTTGAAGTTTGAACCCCAGAAGCCACGAGTACTTTTCGTGGCGCGGGGCAAGCAAGTCACACAGTATCAAAGACAAGAGTCAAAGACACGAGTACAAAAAGCTTATGTGTACTCATGCACAAGGTACAATCGCACACAAGTACAAGTGATTGCATCCGGTTGGGATATGGCTCCCTGACCGGTTTTGACCACAGCCACGCGGTCATCTTCAGGGGGGTTCCACCTTATCACTCCCTCGTCTCAGACCATCATACCACCAACCCACCCCGGCTGTTGACCACCGAGAGTCTCCGGAAACGCCCAGCAGTCTCTAGCGTCGGACCCGAGAGTCTGGCAGCGCCGGCCAAAAAGCCAAAAAACTTGAAAAAAGAAATGAAGTCCTGCTGCTGGCGTTTTGGAAAAGCTTGGCCGTGCAGTGCAGCCCCTCCAGGCCCCTGTGTACTGGTGGTTGAAGATTCGGAATCACAAATTGCGAAACCCTTTGTGCATGCATGCATGCACCCCCCTCTTCAACTCTCTTCCTTCTTCTTTGTTTTTCGAAACTTCTGGGGAGGGGGACACTTGGGAGAGTGATAAGAGCATCTCCCTCAACTGGTCCCTTGGGGGAAGGCTCCGCCTATTGGAGGGGAGCTGCACCTGCTGGAAACGGGGGTCAGGGTCCCAAATAGTACAAGACAATGCTGAGTTTGCTGGAAACTGGGTCCTGCCTCCCAGATATTATGCTATTGTCCTGGTTGCGGGCCTTCGTACTGCTGAAGGGCCCAATTGTTCCTGCTATGTTTATTGCTGAATTCCTCCTTCCTCCTCTTCTGGCGCCGCTGTTAAGATGTCTGTTGTTCCGACGATCCAGCTCCCGCTGTTGTCATGTTCCTGCTTCCATCTTTTCTCTTCCGTCGCTGTGTAACTCAGGGGGAAACTGGTTGCGTGGTCTCAGTCCCCGTATTGAGCAGGCCTCCATGTAGCACCTCGGACTATGTTGTGGGTAGCTTGGTTTTGGTCGTCCTCCTTTGTCGTTCTCACTCCCGCTGTGGTAGAGACCGCATCATTAACTGGCCATCCTTGTGCAGGTGGCCGGTCAAGTTGCGGCTCTCTTCTGTGCTGTCACCCTCTCTTCCTCTGCCCGACCTGAGTTCACGAACCCCTCTTCATCACCCTTCCTTTATCCTCCAACCCGTATGTGTCTGTTCCTCCCCCATGAAGTCCTTTAACTGCTGAGGATGGCCCGGCTGGCGACCGGCCAAAACGCGGCGGTGGCGTCCGGTACACACCGACCTACGTGACACGACTTCATGTTTATCTTTTTCAAATCTGTGTGCGGATTTACTATTCTCTGCGTCTTTTTCTTCATTTCCCTGTCTGTTTGTCCTTTGTCATCTTCGTGTTTCACTATTGCTATTGTGTGTGGTTTCCACATCACAGGTGTGCTTCACACTATGCATGTTTCACATGCACCCCCCCGCTTCCCCCTCTCTCCCACCCATGTTTCTCTGTTAAACATTTATGAGTGCTGAGCATTGGTTGGATTCTGGAGGGTCAAAAAAAAAAAAAAAAAAAAAGAGGGTTAATGTCAAGCCTGCGAAACATTTCATTGTGTACCAACAACGAGATTACGCTCAAAAAAAAAAAAAAAAAAAAAAAAAAAAAAAAAAAAGATTTAAACCACCAGTACACCTGTCTCTTATACACATCTACTCTCTCTCTCTCTCTGTGTGTGTGGCTGCCCCATGTTCTTTTGGAAATCCCCTGGAGTCTTGTACCTGGTGTGCACAACGTGCCAGCCTGTTCTCAAAAA